CGATTCGTAATGACTCTCGAAAACAGCACGTAGACGCGGCTCAGAAGGGAAATCGGTCTGTAGTTCTTCAAGAGAGCGTTGTCGCCTTTCTTAAAGAACAAGACCACCGCACTTCTGCTCCACGCCTCTGGAGTAGTGCCACCATGGAGGACGGAATTGAAGAGCTTCTGAAGGACTTCAAGTACCGGTGTTCCACCCGCTTTCAGAAGCTCCGCTGTAATTCCATCCTCGCCTGGGGCCCTGCCGTTTTTAAGGTGCTGGAGAGCCATTCTAATCTCGCTTAGACTGACGTCCGGGATATCATCGGAATAGTGTCGGATAAGACTTGCTCTTGGATCGTTACTCACACTTGCGTGTGGCTCCAACGATGATGTGTACAGCTGCCCATAGAACCTCTCAATCTCACTCAGAATCTCAGGTGTCCCGGAAACGATGCTGCCACACTCAGTCTTCAGCCTTGACAGTTGGCTCTTTCTGGCAGACAGATCTCTGGCAAAGACTTTGGAGCCCTGGTTCCGCTCGATCGCTTCTTTAATACGAGCAGTATTAAAGTTGCGTAAGTCTCGCCGCATGCATTTGGAGATCTGTCTGTTCAGTTGCCTGTATGCTGTCAAATCTGTTGACGATTGCAGCCTCATCTCCCGTCTAACAGCCATGAGATTAAGAGTGTGATCGGAGAGTTTTTGTGTTCTTCTGCGGCGGGTCTTGCAGAACTTAGCTCCGACCGCATGGACAGTTTCCACGAGCTTGTCATTCATATCGTCCACTGCATTGCAATCTTGTAGGCACTGAAAGCGGTTGTGTAACTCGAGCTGAAAGTTTTCGGGATTTTGGATCAGAGCACGAGGGGGGACGGAGCGTTGACTTCATTAGACGAGACCTCTCCAACTTAACGTTTAGGTTCAGTGTGCCTCTAACCATTCGGTGATCGCTGCCAGTTTTCACCCTTGCGATCACTGAGACATCACTGAACAGTTGGCGTCTGGTCGTCATAATGAAGTCAATCTCATTTTTTGTCGAACCGTCGGGGCTCGACCAGGTCCACTTCCTGTGGGGCCGCTTCTGGAAGAAAGAGTTCATCATAAAGAGTCCCTCTTTCTCCATAAAGTCGGCCAGCTGCTGGCCCCTTCGGTTCCGTTGCCCTACTCCAAATTTCCCTAACTTCAGCTCACCGCTTTCTCTTGTGCCTAGTTTTGCGTTGAAGTCTCCCATCAACACCGTGTAGTGGGTTTTGGAGGAATGTATGGCTTTGGAAATATCCTCATACATTTCCTCCACCTCCTCATCGGAATGTGCCGACGTTGGTGCGTAAACCTGTATGACCTTCAGCGAATACCGTTTGGTGATTCTGAGTATCAGGTACGCGACCCTCGTCGACACACTCTCAATCTGTACAACGTTGTTGACGAGAGACTTGTGGACGATAAATCCGACACCTCCTTGGGACAGATGGTCGCCCTCCCGGTGATAGAACAAGTTGCCGGATTCGAGAATCACCGTGTCCTCCCCCTCTCTTCGGACCTCGGATAATCCTATAATACTCCAGCGCAACTTGTCCATCTCTTCCTCTAGCTCCAGGATCTTCTCGTCAGTCCTCAGTATGCGTGCGTTAAATGTTGCCAGGTCGAGTCGTCGTAGGTGGCAACCGAACCTCCACCGGAGATTCTTAGCACCCCCTGCCCCGCCGTTACCACGTCCCCCCGTTATCGAGAGTCGAATTCGACGCAAAGAAAGAGCCTAGCAAATCGGCTTTCTCCTTTGCGGTATGGGCCAGTGAGTCGTCCTCTCTGTGCAGAGATGGAAGAGATGGCTGACAGAAATTTCCCTGGACAGCCTTGGCGACAGACCAGAATGCACGGTTTCCAGAAGGAAGGCGAACTAGTTTCTCGCCAATTCTGCCTATGTGCTCTGACTTGGTAATGACTCTTTTGAAGAATCTGGAGGCGGAATACTTATTTTTTAGAGCGCTGGTGTTTACATCCCGCGATGTTGATGCGTCAGCCCAAGCTTGGTAGCAAGACTGCTTTTAGCATGATGCTATTTTACAGGAGCGACCAAACCATGGCTGAGATTTGCCTCCGATGGGCACCACAGAGGAAGGAATAAAAAGTTCCATACCTTGAAGTACCACATCAGCGACAGAATCCGCAACAACGTTGGGATCGTCCGACGAGAAACAAACCCGCCCCTAAGGGTAGGATGCAAAGAAAGACCGCATCTTATCCCAATCAGTGTTGCCAACATTAAAATCTAGCTCCCGTTATAGAGAACACTATAATCCCGTTAAATCCCGTCAATAACGGTGAACAAGTGTCAATCATTCATTGTATTGCACATTTTTTCGTATTTTTAAACTAAAAAATGGATAAAATTATATTTTAATTTTTGCCATTTCCAAATTATTTCGGAAACAAATCTAAAAAGCATAATGTTGTTGTGCCGTTAAAAAATCTGTTAGCCGTTAAACACAATTTTTTCCCGTTGCTAACCTCGCTGTCCCGTCAAATCTAACGGGAAACCCGTCAAGTTGGTAATAATGATCCCTATCGGCTGACCTATAGTGCCAAACGCGGCGGCAGCCTGCAGAATGCAACTGCGATTAGATTAGGAGCAGTTCGATCACATACGTACGGAGAGAAGAATTATATAAAAATATAGGTGGGTTATATTTTGATTATGGAAAAGAGAAAAGAGGAGATAACTCACCAGGCCAGGAGTTCAGTCCGGGGAGCGGACAACGCTTGGTGTGGTTGGTAGTACGGAATTTATTGTGTAGAAATATAGGTAGAGTCGTTCGAAAATCCGATAGCGTGATTTGGACTCGGGATCATTTACGCTATTGTGGTTCGAAGACAACGTTGCCACAATAATAATATAATTACACAATTAATCAGGTTTCAACTAAAATCAATTGAATTTAACAGGAAATGTCAAATTTCGCGAAGACTTCCACCGCCCATGAGTTTTTTTAGTAAGAAAGACTATTTTGAAAACCATAATTTAAGCCCGAGATCAAAGAATATAATATATAAACTATGTTTTGTAAAAAGGTGGATATATTTTTATTTTTTATTTCAAACTAGCCATCCGCCCTGGCTTCGTTTGGGTGACTTCGGGATACCGGGTACAATTGTGAATATAAACCACCCTTTCACTGCGCCCCGCGCATTGCATATAATGCATTGCTATTGTCTAACTATTGTGTGTGTAAATCGGACAGTGAATGTGTTAAACTGTAAAATTAATATCAGATTTTCATTAAAACACAAATATATCGTTATAAAATATATTTTATTACAAAAATACAGTCTCAATAAAGACTATAATCTATGTACATGACAAATATTTAGTGAATAGCTATAAGTACTGATGTCAATAACATCATTCTAAATGCTACAAAATAACGGGTTTATACTTGAAGAGGTAAAATAACATTTTACAATAAAATTTTAATTAAACCGAGTCTAACTCAGACACATCTAAGGAAATATGTATACGTTTTCATTACGCGAAAAAGTTAATAGCGCTGAATACAGCGACCAAAAAAGTCTTCCGCTTCAAGGAAAAATTATGTTCGCTTTGATTTGCAATAGGCATGGCCATTTCAATCGCCATCATCCTAGCACGATCGACACTTTCATTTTTATTATTGCACAGAGCACCATCGTTATACGATATTAATTTTATAATGAAGATAAATTCAACAAATAAGACTAGAAAACGTGACTTACGCAGACTACAGATTAGTCTAGCAGATATAATCGTAATCAACAGATTTTTCAGGATGGCACAGTAATAGACCCAAATCTGTTGAAACACTGCGACAGCATTGGAACTAGTCAGGGCCTCTTCTTGCTACCCTCATGCTAACACAAATTGTTAATCATTTAAGCATGTTTAAATTCATTTTCCACGAATGTAAATAACAAAATTTGGCATTTAAATAACATACATGAAATTTATATATTTTTTTTAATTCAAGTGGATAAATATTGCTTACATACACAGAAAATCAATTGAAACATATATCTAATTTTCTTGTTATTTTTTGACATAAACACAAACTACATAACGACATCAATACTTGGAAATTATTGGCACAATTTGAATACAATATTCCAACAATTAATTAATATATTCTTTCATTTTGATCCATTTAACATACAACTTTATGTAAGTCACTTAAGGTTGAATTTATAACAAACCTTTGTATAATAATGATTAAAAAAAGTTAACAAGAGTATAATAAAGACGAACAAATAAAATTATATCATCTGTGTTTTAAACTACTAAATTGTATTTGATACAACATTGCATTTTTTATTTAAAACATTGTACATTTCACCTCATACTTTAGTGGTGATTGTGTTAACCCGATCCTGAAGGAATTACTGACATCCCGTTAAGTAAGGAATATTTATTGCCTTAACATACCAACAGTATTTCTGCCTATTCAGTCTAAGGTTTTGGCCAGTTTTTATCACATTTCGAATTAAAACTTCTAGTTAAGTTATTAAATTTTGTGTTCATCTCTGAGCTGTTAAAACTTTGTTTTCATCTCTGAGCTCATTGTAAAACACCACACAACGCTATGATGGTGACATAATTACAGTGGTGAGTGGAAGGTGTTTCAGCCCGGGCTTCTCACGTTCTCTAATATACCTCGTAATTAACACGGCTGCTTAAGATAATTATTTAAAATTAACAACAAACTCGTCGATTGTAACATAATCGCCGTGTTGTTGTAATATATAATATTATAATAATATCACGTATAACATTGACGAGCTAAAAATAGAACACTTTGTTGGACGATTTTCCGAAACATTAATCCAACGTAAATATATTGAATATTTTACTACTTCTATGATAAACAGTTTCTAAAGGAAGAAGATTTTATCTCTAATATCCCTGTCACATTACATTGAGCAATCAATGTATAATGAACTACACCCAGTAATATTCTTTAATAAGTAGAAACATGTACGTAGATTTCATTGTCATTCGATGTGTTTTCCGTCTTTCCATTTTTTCTTTGAACGTTCGAATGCTTCTTTTATGCAGGCCCTGATATGGTTAAAAAAATACACGTAATTAATAATATTTTTAACAGAGGGGAAGGAAATTCACCTTCCAATCTAAACCATAGATGTTGTGATGTTGGTAAGGAAAATAAAAGTAATTACTTTTGTAAGTTTCGATAGATACCTTTTATCCTAAATAGCATCATTATCATTGCAACGGCAACAATGTCTAACAAGGCTGAATCAATCACACACACGGTATGTAAAGTATTATATATATTAGAGCGACAGTAGCCTAATGGCAGGGCGCGGGGGCGAACTCAAAAGGTCGTCTGTTCGAATCCGCCATTCGACTACTGGCGTGCACCACTCCTAACACAAGCGTTTCAAGCTTACCAGGAGTGCTTAAAAGGAATATTAGTAATGTTAATTAAATAAATTACTAACATTTAATGAAAAAAAAGTAGAGTGCACATGTGATGGCGAGTTTTAAATTATGCATCTCAAATGCCGTATTCTTGAAAACAACTTAATCTTGCAGTGAATTAAGGACTGATATAGAAAAAAAAAATAGAATGTCAATATTTGCGTCCATACCTAAAGACTGACTGATGCAGTATGTAAGCAGACACGTGTCCAGCGTCGACGTAACGCACTTCTGCTCCGGGCCATATCTCTTCCAGTCGACCCACGTCCTCTCTAGGTACATACGCGTCATGTTTGGCGCACACAGCTGAATTACAATACAAATACAGAATTTTGAGCTTTATTGAATAAGAATTTTCATTATTCTACATATAATTATCGTGCATTTTTTATTTTTTATTAATCACGTGTCATTTCACATTATCAGAATTTGCTATTTTTATAAGAAATAATGTTAGTATTGTTTATTTTAAGAATTTGTGAATTGTTGTAAAGGTTTTTTTAACTTTGTACTTTAATTCATGGTAAGAAAGCTGAAAATTGATGTGTTTTATTGTTCTTTAGTAAATCTGGCGATTGTGCTATTTTTTGACATCATTAGTTTATAAAATAATTCATAATATGACTTCATCTGATATGTGCGGACGGTTGGATGTGTAGAATGTATTCATACGTACCAATAATCAAAGAGGTATCATATGGTACCGAGAAATTGCTCAAATGGGTACATTCATCCATAATGCCTCTCATGAACTGCAAAGCTTCTCTGTCCCTCCAATGTATCTTTCCTATATCTATTTTCTTCCCCGATGACTTTAGAAACGGTAAGCTTGTCCAAAAATCCGAAGTTATTTCTGATACATTCCACGTCTTTTTCTCTGGTTTGAATTCTTTATACTCGATTTCATCAGAATGTTTACTGGTTTCGTTAACTTTTTCTTTATTTTCAGTTTTAGTGCCATTGCCTGAATCATGCACGTGCATATTTGGCGATTTTCTACTAACTTTTTCAGTATTGATCAAATTTTTATTGCCGTCTGTTTTCGTATCTTCTAGATGTTCTTTAGGTGATTTAATGGCAATACTTTTTACATGATCATCTAAAATAAAAACTTTCAGCATTAAACAATCGAATATATTACATATTAGTCTAATAAAAATGAAAATGACTGAAATTCAAAGAATCTAAGACACTGATTTTAGACAAGAATTTAAGAGAGATGTGCATTTAGTAAATAGAACTTGTGGCATTAATAACGGCGGTTAAAAATAAAATTAAGGTATTTTGTAATGTAAATGAATGTAAGTGCAGTTTTTTAATCACAAATAAATAAATTGCTTAATTATGCAAAAAATATAGAAGTGGCCGACAGAAATAAAACAGACTCGTAAGCGCCTTACCGACTCTATATTTGAATAGAAAGTTTTTTAGTTCATTTTTATTTAATTTATTTATCTCTGATATATCTTGGGCGTCTAACTCAAATGTTGTATTAGATGTAAGTTTATCATACAGCGCTTTACTAATTTTATTTTCACCTTGCATCTTTCTTAACTCTTCACTTAAACTTTCAGTATGTGTTATTTTAATAGGTACTTTTGCGTCACTCAATTCTGTTATATTCTGAATATTATTATTATTATTAATACCATTTTTTAAATTTAAATCACTATATTCCTTGTATGTTATATCCACATTTTGATTTAAATCGTTTTTAGGACTGCTTACTATATTCTCTTGTTTCTCGTTTTGTACATTCTCAGAGTAAGTGCGAGCAAACTTTTTCCCAGCCAAGAATGCCTCGTCTACTATAGTGACCATTTTGGACAGCTTTTCTCTGTAAACTCCATCTGATAAGTATTGGTCCTCAAGTAAATCCCAGTTTATCGAATGTGACATAACTCCCTGCAATGTTTAATGATTAATTGGTTTCATATACTTGCCTAACACGAATCCACCACCCAATTCCTGTATAAGTCTTGTACGTATCGTAAGAGGCAATTATGGGATACAAAAAAAAATGAAACTGCACAGACATCCAAAAACTCTTTATCGCTCAAAAAATGCATAAGAATTCTAGCAAATATTGACTTTAGGGAAAGCTGTAGACCATATTTTATACAATACAAGATATTAACAGTTACATCTTTATACATATTAGCATCATGTAAATTAGTAAGAAAATACATAGATATATTTCAAAAAGTTAGTGATGATAATATTGCCTAAAACCACTTTATCTTTATTCAGTTCTGCACCACACTCCATGATAGGAAGTTTGTGATGCAGCAAAATTAGCTTTTTGATTAAAAAAAGTTACCATTAATTAGGTGAATATTAAGTTAAATTAAAGTAAATAAATAAATATACTAAATACTGTAATAATACTTGCGATGTATTATATATATATATATATATATATATATATATATATATATATATATATATATATATATATATATATATATATATATATATAGTTAGATAGCTTTACTTCATGTTGTTATACCCTTCCTGGGTGCATGTGCTGTAATTTATCACACAAAACCACATGTAAATGCAATAAATAAAAGCTTCCGATAGATGGCAGTATAACCAGCACCAGCGTCATAAGTAGAAGAAGCACAGCGATCGTCAATCCAGTTGCAAAGCGTGACGATAAAGGCATATCCTCCTTATAACGGGAGGCCCTTGTCCTGCAGCGGAAATTTACGGGCTGATCATGATTCATACTGTTACGCGCTCCAGTCAACGATACACTAGCGCCATTTAGTGTCAGGAACGAGAGCGAGGGGAGCATTGAGAAAATGACATCACAAATCGCTCAACTGACAGCGCCTAGTCGAAACTCGAACGCTCGGTACCTTCCGCGTGTTTACTTGAACATTCTGGATATTTCTTTGCTAATTCAAATATATAGGCGCTGCAAGATGCGATCGAGGCAGTGTTGATTTGGGCGAAACAAGCGAAGCTTCGGAGTGGAATTAAGTGAATTAGTGTGTTTAAATTATTAGTGTTTTAACTTTAATTGTGTAAAGTAAATTAAAGTGTTAATTTAGGTAATTTTATCGGCAATTTTTATTGTCACGAACCTCAAGCTCGTAACAATACGTAGATACATAAAGTACATCATACATATATCGATTAGTTTTTTTTTAAATTACCGTAACATTTTTATTATGGTATATTGAAAACTAAGCATAGTTTAAGTTTAAATAATGTCCAGTATTCGATGGACATGTTTGTTTTAAATTGTTAATGTAAGATGGATTTAATTATTTTATTGATGGATGATACAAAGTTTTTAATATGATATTTATTATTTTAAAAGATGATTTTAAATCATGTAGGTTGTAAGGTTTGAAACGTATAGGTTAAATTAGTGTTACATAATAGCCGTACGAAAATATTATATCATAGTTACAATATATTTTCTTTATATTTGCTGTTATAATTATGTTAAATGTGTTCAATAAATTAAGATTACAACCTGTAAGAATACAGCTGAAGCAGTAGACCAAGAGAGACAAGGAACTAGCACCATGGGCTTTGGCCAATTTGTTGCTGCCAGTGACGCCATCTTTAAAATATTATTCATAAGTTTATATAATGTGATTTTTGAATAAATAAAGTTTGCTTTATATTCGAATAAATATTTGATTATTTTTGCAATGTATCATATAAGCTTTATAATTTAATATACTAACATGTCCACCCATAGAAAGTCCGGTAACGCCTAACGGACCAAGTCCATTACGTTCACACCAATGAAAAAGCACCAGCGATTCCAGAATCAGACATCCTCCCATCACAAAAATGTCCGACACGTTATGCAGGGAAGATCGACTGGAATTAATGGATTTGTTCGTTACGACTTCTATTGAATTATGACAATCAACATTCGCACACTCTAAATTATTTTGTATTGTATGAAAATATAAAGATATAGTTATAGTTAATTCGATTGATTGAGTAGGGAGGACGTGTAGAGGAAGTGCTAGCGGGTATTTAAGGGGAATGGACATGGGCTATTATCATTTTCGACTATATTTTGATGTCGTTTTAATTTATATTTAATTTTTTTTTAAATATTAATAAATTATAGGATACAAAATATTATAATTACTACAATTAATAATAATTTATCTATGCGTAGTGAGCTACGCTGCAGCTACATTATCGTTTTAGAACGAATAGGTCAGCTCGACCGCAGAACTATGCTCACTGAATACTAGCGTAAAATAAGTTTAATACTGATGTGTTTGTACAGTGAGTGTAGAGAACAGGAGGTCCTATTTACTGTAAATGAGGCATTTCATCGTAGTCGTGTTTAGTGTGTTTGTCATTCTATAAAAAAATGTGGTTGCTAAATTAATTCCGTCGGAAAACGATTCCCACGAGAGTTATAGAATTCAACTGCTGAGGGTAAGTGGTGATATTAGCTGAAGGAAATAGGCGGTCTGACTTCGCTTAGCAAGATTATATTCACTCCTGCCTTTAAGACAACCACATTGTACAGACAGAATAGTAATCGGATGGAAAGGCATAGTGAGTGTAAAGAACAGGAGACCACCCTATTAACTGCTAAGAGAGGCATTTCATCGTAGTCGTGTTTAATGTGTTTGTCATTCTATAAAAAAAATGTGGCGGCGAAATTAATTCTGTAGGAAAACGATTCCCACTAGAGTTACATAATTGAACTGCTGAGGGTAAGTGATGATATTAGCTGAAGAAGATAGGCGGTCTGACTTCGCTTAACAATATTCTTTTTACTCCTTAAAGACACTACCTTAAAGACAACCACATTGTACAGACAGTATAGTAATCAAACGGAAAGGCAGATTCTGGCAAATTCTTTCACACATTTTCTGTCTAATTTACGAACGAGAACGACGTAATGAAACGTTTGTTTTCAATGCCTCATATTCATAGAATGGCTGTCAAACTTATTTTGTACGAGATTCGGCTGCGACTTTTGATTATTGTTCAAAATCACCATTAAAAAAGTCGTTTAAATTTTAGCACATATTTATACGTAAATAGTGTGCAATTTGGTATTTTCTAAATAATTTGCATGCGAAATTTGGAAACGATTGTTACGTCATCTCGTGTTGACGTTGATTTATACGTGTGAATTGACGTGTTAGTGACATTTTAGTGGCTACACGGGCTCCGCCCATTCCCCCGTTCTATTATGTATGATTATAGTATTCTGTGGTTATATTCATTGCAGTCTATTAAAAGTCAACTGATGAACATAGGTCTACCCTCGTAGATTCCCTCATGTGGGTGAATCGCCATAGTTGACAAGCTGGGCAGGCACGTCGGCAACCGCGGGTTTTTTTTTCAAATATTTCGAGTTGTTATCAAGCAGATGCTGCTGCCCGTCTCCTGCTACATCTCCCTCTGTCGTCTCTTACGACACCCACGGGTTGACTTAGAGCATTGGTTCTCGATAGATCCGCCGAACGTCTGGATTACCAATGGTGAGATGGTCCAAGGAACAGAGAAGGAAGAATGAAGATGTCTTAAAATTTTGTAGAAAGAAAGTTTTCCCAAGGGACGATTTTTGACAAGATTTATGAATGTAGTCACGTTAATAAGTACATATGTTTTTTAATTGTTATTTTCTTAGTCAAATGCTACACGATAGCTTCAACATGTTCTTACATTCCTGCTGTAATGCTGTAATCTTGTGAAAAGAAGCGGCAAGAAACGCACAAGTAGACAATTATTTTTCTACAAAATTATATTTGTTTTACAGAAGAGGGCCACAAGACCAATCTATGATATAAAACCTAAAGAGTTGCTCGGACAAAAATTTAAGGAAATTAATATATTAACTTTGACCTCTCAATACATTTATGGAAATGTATAAACAAAAATAAATATTGTTTTACAAAAATAAGTGATATTCTGTAAATACAAGGAACAGACACAAGTTAGTAGTAGCAGTTACTCGATTCTACCGAGTCAGTAATTCATTCTTGGGGCGATGTCATAGTAAAACCAGAATAGTAGAATTTTCCCGCGCCGCGCGAGACTTAAATGCCTATTGTGTGCAGAGTTGTCACTGTCTTTTTGTTCAACAGCTAAGTCTCATTTAGTTTTGTAAATAGTTATAATATTCACAAACATAATACATACGGATACATATCTATGCATCATATTTGTTAATCATTTCTTTAGTTTCCTTTCAAAGAATCAACAAATAAGAAAGTTTGTCAAAAAAATTCCAGCTTTACCATAGAATACTATAATTACATACATAATAGAACGGGGGAGTGGACAGAGCCCGTGTAGCCACTAAAATATCACTAATACGTCAATTCACACGTATAAATGTCAATACGAGATGTGGTTTGATGTTACATTCGTTTCCAAATTTCGCATGCAAATTATTTAGAAAATGCCAAACTGCACGTTTTTACAAATAAATATGTATTAAAATCTGTCTGTCAACACAGCGAATCGATAATACGACGTAATTGCTTGTATGTGTGCTCCCGGCGACGCATGTCCTCATACAAAATAAGGTTGACAGCCATCCTATTGTGTATTATAGTATTCTATGAGCTTTACATTATAAAAATGCCAAATAACTAAAATACGAGCAAATGGACACTGAGCATATAGTTGCGGCTCAGATTTAATGTTTGAAATTAATTTGATCTTTAATGACACCGCCACTGCGCCGCCGTTACGTGTCTATTTATAAACCGGGAGCTCAGTGCAATTTTTTCAACCATATTTACTAGGCAACATATAGTGATGCGATACGATAATTAATGTACTTATGAGGTATGTATCTATGTATAAAACCTATTAATAAAAAGCTAATTTACTTAAACAAACGCATATAATACATATATTAATTTATTTTACGAAAAGAGAAAATAATACGAAAAAAGTCTGCTAGCAAAATTTTATTAGAAGCAAAGACAAAAATATGTTTTATGTGCTTTCGGCACATTTGTAAAGTATAAGCACAGTTTAAACAGGTGCGGCATACGAAATATCACGAGACTCAAAAAAGGTGATTGCGGAGCGCGGCAGTGGGCGTCACCGATTCAGCCCGATATTCCCGACTTAGCAAGTGTCGCTGTGTGCGTGCTGTGGCTCGTGCGTACGAGTCCATACTGACACGTGCCACACACGCACATATATTAGCGGCATTCGGTACATTTGTTAAAAGATAGCCTACTATTGTTTTTACTATGGCGATGTATACGCTTTATAACAACAAAATCCCAGAAAATATAAAAAATTTGATCTGCTTAAAGATCAAAAAATTTATTAAACCAAGTTTCTGTAAAAGGACTATTATAATATTAAGAAATTTATGGATGATAATAACCCTTGAGAATGAGGTGGTCGCTACCAAGTTATTTTTAATTTGTTTTGTGTTGCTAATGTGAAAAAGTCCCGTTGGTTTTTTTGCTATAGTTCGTGCCAAATCGATTGAGAAAAACGGACATTGAGCTTTCGGTCGTTTAACCAGGGGCTACAAACCTTCAATATATAGGCACTTTATATGTAGTATATTATTAATTTATAATGATTTTTTTATTATTTTTATAATGATTGTTATAATACATATTTATTAACTATTATTAAAAAGTTATGTAAAAGATCACTGTAGAAGAAAATTCAATCTATTGTTATAAAATAATTTATTCATTTAATAACAAAAAGCATTAATTTATAACACATAAAGATTCGAGTGATAACGACATCGAATAAGTACGTACTTATTCAAAAGATATATATTATTGAAAACTTTATTTTCGATATTATATAAGAACTTTATTTTTATTCGGTGCATTCGGGCCGGCCCTAAAAATGTGACGCATCTCTGGCTGCCATTGTCACGTTTCTTTTGGAACGAACTGACGTATCTCGCGTTTTAAGGGATGAATTTGCAAAAGCGCAATATGGTGATTATGTTGCTTCAAATATTTTTTTTAATATGAAACTGTTATTAAATGAATTTCTGCGTTATTTACCATAAATTGAAATATAAAATATAACATTTTTCGCGATGTACCGTAATATTTTACGATGTTAATAAGAATCACAGACAATATTATTTAAGAAACAAAAAAAAAAGCAAAACATATGTGCTGACCTAGAAGTGTGAATAATATCAATATTTAAATATTGTTATCACATCTAAATTGAGATTTTGTAGGTTACGCCTTTTGACACTCGGCTCATATCCGAGGTAGTCGTCCGTTTTTCTCAATCGATTTGGCACGAACTATAGTTCTTTCCAGGACAGAGGTTTTTTTCTACGAATGAGTGCTAATTAAACAAAACCGTGCCGTGCAGTGGCGGTGTAAGAATATCCACCACCCCATACTGTCCCGTGGGTATCGTAGGAGGCGACAGAGGGAAATTGAAACAAGTGATGGGCAGCAGCATCTTCCTGATAACAACTAAACATAATAAACAACTGCGGTTGACAAGCATGTCAACTACGGTATAATCCCCCCCCTGTGAAGCAATCTATGGGGGAGGTCTATGTTCAGCAGTGTGGACTTTTATAGACTGTAACAGGGAATCTCGCTGCAAAATAACATTTAAAGCACCTATATATATATATATATATATATATATATATATATATATATATATATATATATCAATACAGCCCTGTTATATTCAGTTTTGTAAAAGATTGAGGTTTATATAATAGTTATTATAAAGATTAAGAAGTCATATACAGCGTAATTTGGCCGCAGCTCGAATAGGTCGATCCAACCTAGAAGGACCACACCCGCACAGAATACCAACATGAAATAGCAGGATAATGTCGGAGATATGTTTGTTGGTAACACAAGGCATTCCATCTTAGTTTTCAGGGGTGACAACGCATCTGTATTTTGATTCTTAATCGAGGATAGGCCGGTGTTCACTTACCACCAGGTAAGCTGTGTGCTAATTTTTCACCTTTACTTTAACTTCTGTAAAAATAAGTAATTTTATGGTACTTAAAGCGATTTAATATTTAGTTACTTAGCTGACAGCATTGTCATTATTTATCAAACTGCGTTACTTACACTTGATCTGTGGGCTTACGAAGTCCATAAAATGGATTCTCCAATATAATTCCGCCAATAGCTGCTTCTTTTAACAAAGGCTTCACCATTAGATTTCTCCGGCGCCAGAAAAACTATTACAAAAATAAAAATAAAAAAACATCCACATATATTACACGTAAGCAGTACTTACAAGATGTTACAGTGAGCCAACAACTTTTAAGTTTTTGTTAATAATGTAGTAAGCATACACTTGGCAGCTTGGCAGTGGTAAAAAAAAAAACAATGATAATTTCGACTAAGAATCAAGATATAGTTGTCTTGTCACAGCAAAGGGATCATAGAAGTCCAGATTAAAGATAAATAGATTAACTTTTAAAAACCGAATTTTGAATTATTAGAATTTGTCAATTGTTATTTTAACAAATTTGAACCAAGAAATGCAGTCTGCAGTGCTATTACTGCGTGCCCCATGATAATCACGAGATGAATATGAGATGATAAATATATAGAGCTAAGCATTATATATAAGAAGATAATAAATATAAGATGCCTAGCTCTTCATAATATGCCAAACTATTTAAGCTACAGAAGGCAATAAAAAACCACAAAACACTCAAAATACAATCCTCCTTCTACAGTACTTGGGTAAAAAGACAAACTGGCTAAACGGATGCCAAGTGAACTGCAAGCAAAAACTGAATAATCCTTTACACAGCACAAAGCTGATTTATTATAATGATTTCCTCTGAACCACTCTTATTTGCTTAGACAGCATAATATGAAAGTTTATAAGCTGCATAAACTGTCACTAATTATAACCCTTTCTTTACCAATGTGTAGGTATAATAAAAATCTTATACCTACACATTGGTAAACACAACATGCAAATGAGTATCTTGTGTTTATACGTAATTTCCTTTTTACTTTTTATTTACCCACTAGCTTTTTCTCGTTGAGTCAGTTTCCATTCATAAATTGCACAAGGAGAAACATCCAGACCAAGAACCTATATGCAGGCGATACAAATACCTGTACTGTAATTATTTTCCTATGATTTACTTTAATTATTTTTATCTGAGACGTCAGCCAATCATATCAAAGATGACGAGATTGTAAATATTCAGTCCTGAATCACGAAGTATCTTTGAGACAATATCTAATCTGCAGACCATGAATAGTATTTATGACCAATATTCCCATTCTCTATTAGAAAGGGTGTTTTGAACAGGAGTTAACAGTTATGGAACTGATGATGATATTGATAATAATAAAAGAGTATAATAACAAATCGTCCTGTGAAGTTGTCCAGGAATACACTTATCTGGGGCAGATATAGCAACTAGGAAAGAATAACTTCGAGAAGGAAGCCGATCGGAGGATTCAGTTAGGCTGGGCAGCATTTAGAAAGCTCCGGGTTTTTATATCGTTGCCCATACAGCAAGTGCCACCAGTGCATTCTGCCCGTACTCACTGTTGGTGCGGAAACATGGACTCTGATGATATGGCTACTCCAAATACTCAAAGTCGCACAGCAAGCGATGGAAAGAGCTACGATCGGAGTTTCTCTGACAGATAAAATTATAAATAAAGAAATACGCCGGATAACCAAGATTACTGACATAGCCTTCCGTGTTTGTAAGCTGAAGTAGCAAGGGACTGGTCATGTCTGTCACAGAAGTAACAACTGGTGGAGTAGACGTGTTATGGAGTGGAGACCACGAGATCTAGGCAAACGTAATGTGGAACGCCCCCTGACCAAATGGAGCGACGATCTGCGCAAGGTGGCTGGTAGAAACTGAATGCGTGTAGCCGAAGATCGGGCTAAGTGGCGCGCCTTGGGAGAGGCCTATGTCCAGCAGTGGACTGTCGCAGGCTGATGATGATGATGATAACAACAAAACTGTTGAGTAGTCAAGCCTCTGTAAGTTTCTTATAACACAAGTCAAAAAGTAAGTAAAAAAGCAGGTTAACTTTATTAATAATCCTAATGAAAAATTACCAAACTTGAAAGTACCTCAAATCATTGACAGGAAGAAGTTTTTGCTGTGGCAGAAACCTGTATACAAAGCAGTGCTTGCAAGAAACAGTACAGGAATAGCTTATATTTCATATTCAAGTTTAGATAGACCTATGTATAGTAGTAGCTAAGAGGCTACATTGATGGCAATAAAACAAAAAACTTACAAAAGAAAATATTTTTATAAAATTAAAGTAAGTAATTTATTTGATTGTAAAATGCTGCAGTTTAAATATATAACAATGAGCATGAGCATTCTAATAAAAATAATATCAGGTGTCACAGCAATTGGTGCAAGTGGTGGAACTAGTGAATAAGGTGTAAATGGTCTATTTTAAGGTTTAACAGGTGAAGTGTAGCATTTCCACAGTCAAAAATATGCAATGAAATTAGGTATGTTTAGCTAGTATGTTTTAATATGATAAGTAGATAAGTTGCTCATTATATAAGCTGTTTGTTATAAGATAAAATGAGATATTAATTTACATCACACGGCCTTTGCACCATAAACCTTCTGAAAGTAATTGAATAATGTAGTTGAATTGAGCAGTCACTTCCTTGTATTAGTGGCACTCTCATATTTTTGACATATATTCAAAAGATATTTTCTTACAATACATTTACAGTCTGACTGAAGCTATAATGCTACAATAGTAACTGTTATTACTCCATTACAAAAATGTATGTAATTAGATGAGCATTTCCTTTAATTTTTGCACAGGTCTAAAAAAAGATATGAAAATAAAAGTGGTTAAGTTCTAACCTTGTAATAGTTTCAAAAGATATACTCATCGAAAATCGAAATAAATCATTGTTTTTATTGAATAACTGAGATTTTATTTTAAAAAAAAATGCGAAAATAGCAGACAGAATTTCTTGATAACTTTCTGATTTTGATAACTTAGGACTAAATGAAATTAATAATGAAAACCACAAGCAATCATAGTAAATTTGTATTCAATGTAAACAACATAAGCTTAAAAACATGTTTATAATCAAAAATAATATAAATTTAACTTAAAAATTGTAATTGCTCAATTAAACCACATTTCTGTTTTGTTACATTTTAGACAAGTCGTATAAAAAGTTGCAATTTTTCGAAAAATAGACTAAATTAAAACTTAAGACTTTTTCTTTATATTTTAATTAAATTAAATTTAACAGAATTACTGAGGAAACATAGAATAAAAATATATAGGAAAAGTAACAAAGAATTATAAAACTGCGTCTACACATTGCGTATTTTAAGGATTTACACGAATTTATTTACAGCTTATTATATAGTTGTATTTTCCATCAGTCCCCCCGACATTGTCTCCCATAGTGGGACGAAAACAACATTTTTTATATTTTCGATCATCCTCTAATTTTTTGACAGGCCGAAAGGATTACTCGCAAATTGTAAATAATGGATCATTATTTACCCATCTAATAACTCGTTTTAATAGAGTAAAATTTTTTGTGCAGGCTGACAACAACTAATGTTAAATATAGAAATTGTAATTTTTATACTTAAAAGTTATAGGAACTTTTCAGTCTATGTACTTGAAATACTAATGAATCATAGCTAGTACAAACCTAACTTAAACAAACTACATGTTATTAGTTAAATACCTAGGACTACCGCTTAACGGCCTATCTGAGACGGTTCCTGAGGTAGCCGCACAATGGAGGAGGAGGGAGTATTTATACTTTTTCTTTATTAATTCAAATTTTTTTATTTTTGTTCTTCAAATTTTTCAAGGTTTTGTTTGAGTTTAGCCCTACAATGCTGCATTTTTTCAGCTGCTGTTAACGGCATTGTGTTTCTGTGGAATTAAATAAATTTGTCTGACTTGCATGAGGTGGCTGTTAAATTTATTATTTGAAAAGTCCCTCCTAAGAAATGAAAATAATGAATAACAAAATATCCCGCCGCAGTTGTATGCAGAATTATTTGTATAATACTAATAATCTTTTAGGAGTGAAAATACTCACTATTATAAACAACTTTTACTATAAGAACAATACTGAAATATTATAAAAATTATTTTCAAAAACCCGACTTCCAACACCACAACAAAGTATTAAATATTTTTTGTTTGTTCTCATATGTTGAAGTCGAGTGAGCATAAAAAAACAACAAAACAGATGAGAAATGCAACTTCAACATACGTGGTAAAAATACGCGCCGAATTGAGAACCTCCTCCTTTTTTGAAATCGGTTAAAATACACAGTATACATTCAGTTTTGCAAATTATTTTTTTGTTACTTCATCTTCTACACATACGTTATCCTACGAAAGTAACCAAAACGGAAGTCATGAATTGATGGATCAGTCTTTCAAAAATATTTTTTATGATAGGAATATACTTAAACGGCACTTTCTTATAATCTTAAGTGATATATGGAATTTACCTTCTTATATAATACTACTAACTCAATTATACACTATTGCTTTCACTTAAATAAACACAATACTTGGTAACAAAATCTGAATCATATTTTCTAACCTGAAGGCCGACCTCAACTCCCTCTAAAGTTGTTCGAAGTGTACTGATGTTTTACAAAACACTGACGTCTAAAGTCTTTCTACAATGATGTCAAAACTAACATACACATTTCTTTTAGTAGATTTATAAAAGGGTAAAAATTGGAAATAAAGAAATTGGTTTCACTATGGAACTTTTTACTGGACAATATTATTTAATTTAAATTTCATAAAAGGATATTGAATTGGACCAATCACACTAAGTAAAATGATTTTCAATCAGTTATCATATTGTTTGACTTCGTATTCAAAAAAAATATTGGAAAATTTGCACTCAAAGTGTTTAGAACAACAATGACATATTTTTAATATTAATACGAATAATTTATGAAGTATTATATAACGATGTATTTTTTCAACACTTTGATACATTTAAACACGGAATAATGTTAACTTGAAAACATTGGACAAGAAAAAAAGCTCCCCTGCGAAAATTTTAGGAAATGCTCAGATACAAATTGAAAACAAATATTAAACATTTAGTGTATTTTTTAAATAATATTTTTTATATTAATAATGCTTAACTGGCTAAATGGTTTGAAATCAGTTGTTGGCTTTATCTAAATTTCAAATATACAAAAATCTAAAATTTATATCTTTCAAGAATCTCATCACAGCTTTGCTTAAGTTTTAGTGATTAAACTTACATGATCACCTGTACCAGCAAGATGTAAGCATACTGGTTTGCAGCCTGGCTCAGGCCAATGTACTGGAAGCAGAGCTTGAAAATGAGCTTTCTGTGCAATTTCAGGAACTATCCCAGGAAGATATCTTTCCAGTGGTGTGAGAAAGTATCCCTCTACTAGCTTACAGTCTGTGAGATTTTGTTCCTTGAAATATGTAAAAAAAATATTTTATATTACTTTAATATTGAAATATTTAAAAATAGAAAATCAAATAAGGATGTTTCCAGAAAATACACCATCTTTAAAATTTTGAACAATTATAATACCTTAGTTATAGTTACAGGGTAGTCCCTTTCAACCAAATTGAAGCATTCATCCCGGTTTGATACTACTTTTCTGAATTCAAATAACCTAAAAATATAAGATTTTGTAAACATGTTATATATACTCAATACAGAAAGATATATACATGTCTTATATAATATGCGATTGAACAGATTATTGAATAATTGTTTACACCTTTGCTTACCTCCGCAAATTTTCTGGCTTGCCCCAACCTTTTGTGAAAAATTTGGTTAGGAGTATACTTCGGTAAACAGCGTCTAATCTGCTAGCTGACATATTAAACAGTGGATGTATTGTATTGTCGCGGTTTGTTTGTTTCAAACTTTGATTTTAATTTTTATGTATTCTGTTATTGATACATTGTTATGAGGATACTAGGTACTTATTTTAATTTGACAATGTCAACTCAACTGGGTAACCAACTGGGGTCTATGGGGGTTTAAAAATTTGAGCGGTCAGCTGTTTTTGTTCCATGTCACATCAGGCATGAGCATGACATTTTGTCCTTTTTTTTAGTTATGGACTTGTACGGCTGCTCTTTTGCCAGAGTCTATGTCAAGTAAGAAATGATGATATATGATGAGGGTATTCACAGTTTTGCCACCTAGGCAGCGCCACTTAGGAATGAGTAAATGTCAAGTAAGAAGTAATGAGGCGTTGGGTTTACAATTCGGTCGCCTGAATTTGAGGATTCTGTCACTGTTGGGGGTCTACGGGGTTTATCTAAAGCCCCCCCACGCGATTTTTGCTGCCGGAGCTGCGTCGAAGTATTTTTAATTATTTTTTAAAAATATTGGTAACTGACTAATTAATTAAATATTCTCACGTTTTTGACGTTTTTTCTGTTTTATTAAGATTTATAAAATTATTTACAATTAGTTGAATGTACCCCAACTCGTAAGGAATGACAGTTTTTCAATTCAATTATTCAATGTTATCTGTACATTATTGTATCTTTTGATGTTGTTAGTATAAAATTTTATACTCAAATCAAAAAAAGATCGATTTTTTCGAAATCGATCTTTAAGATTTCGATTTTTTGTAAATCGATTCATCCAATTTGTAAAATTAATCGCTAGGCCGGCCATTTTGTTGACAGCTTATCATCTTTCAGGTATACAAAAAATACTATGTGTTTTCGTCATGCCGTTGCTTCAGAGTTTCAGAATTTTGGTGAATAGTGGAATATTTGTGGCGGCGTAATACTGCTAAATTATGTTTATAAATTAAAACAGTTATAAAAGTTAATATTTTGGTGTCATATTGAGTGCAATAGCGAGCGAAGTGAGCCTGGGTCAAGTGAGTGAGTGTGAGTGAAGCGAGCGAATAGACCCCGTCATCCTCTTCGTGATTATTTTTTTATAAACCAATTACCGGGGCTTCGTCGACCGGACTTCCCCCGACTGCACCAGGTTAAGTGGCGTAGGGTTTCCGTCCCCCAATTCTCTCTCCCCATAAATCAGGTTAAAATTGTCATAAAAATTACGAAACATAACCTCAAAATGAGATTTTTAAAAATTTATGAAAAAAAAATAACCATGTCCGGCAGGAAGGGAAAGTAGGGGTGACTTTACAACACTTCACGCGTATAACTGTCAACGCGACATTTGTTTTGACGCTAAAATCGTTTCCAAATTTCGCATGCAAATTATTTAGAAAATGCCAATTTTTTTAATGATGATCTTGAACATTAATCAAAAGTCTAAAATGTTTAAATTTATTCAATCTGTCAACACAGTGAGTCGGGTTTGTACTAGTGATAATATGACGTTATTGCTTATACGTGTGCTCCCGGCGACGCTGACCCTCGTACAAAATAAATTGACAGCCATTCTATTGTGTATTATAGTATTCTATGCTCTCAAACGCCAAGCGTCCAAATTTGACCGCTTCGATATTCCGTCAAAATTCAAGAGGTCAAATTTGAACGCAGCCACCCACAGCACTTTAATCCATAAATACTTATGTTTAGTGACTACTTTTCTATGTGACGATCAGTACGACCACCGAAGCTAAACCCGCACTGTATAAAAATCTGACCTTACAAGCTTATTTACGCGGATTAAAAACCCTTTAGGGTCTAGAATAAGATATGTGCGACCCGAAAGTATGGAGAAAGCATTTGAATTCGTGCAGGAGGAGTTAAACAACCTCTATCTCCAAAAACGAAATGAAGACGGTCAGGACAGGAAGGACAGAACAGAATGGACTTAACCTACTCCTAGTTCTAATAAATTATTAAATAATTTCCTTCCAAATCTTACCGCGGTCAACATGCAGTCACTACCTAAAACACAGGGTAATAATACACTGAACTCATTTAGACTCACCTATGCAATTGCACGCTGCACAGGGTTGGAGACCCAATCTACCATCATAGATACATCCATCACGTGGTCCCACTTATATGCAACAGGCGATTAGCTCCGAAACCGTAAAAAATATTTTGGCCACATTCCACTGAATTATGACCCATTCAAGGTCATGTATAAATCAAAGTTTTTGTAGCTGGAAATCGAGTGTCTAGGTCATGTTATTTGTAAAGACGGGTTAAACCCAACCCAGATAAAATTAAACCACCCCAACCCCAACCCAGAAAAAATTAAAGCCATGGAAAAATATCCGCCGCAAAACTACAACTACAACTGAAATTAAGCGTTTTCTAGGACTTCTAGGGTACTATAGAAAACTTATACCAGAATTCGTACGTCTCACAAAATCACTTACTCAATGTCTTAAAAAGGGATCAAAGATAACATTAGATCAAAATTATTTTAACTGTTTTGAACACTGTAAAACTCTCTTAACATATGACCCAATTCTACAGTATCCAGACTTCAGTAGAGATTTTATTTTAACAACCGATGCTTCAAACGTGGTGATTGGAACCATCACCGTTCATACAGTTATCCTCTCGCATGTCGGGGTCATTTTGGCCAATATGGCGCATCTGTCGAGCACTTTCCGAAGTACTAAGTAAGTATATAACAAGTATACTAAGATATATATATATATATATATACTAAGTAAGTAAATTTAAAATCATATATCAATGGAAACGTTACATAACAGATATATATATATATATATATATATATATATATATATATATATATATATATATAAATGTTACAAATAGTTTGCTATAACTCGACGCCATATTATGGCGTTCGACAGATGCGCATATTATTTGAGACGCCAGAATATGGCGTTTAGACAGACGAGGGGATAAAGAAAACTCCATCCTGGAAGTTCCGATTTCTGACGAATAGCTAAATAAATTCACTAAGCAGAAAGTCTTAAATATAGTAGGCAATACAAAAGCTAGACCAGTTGTCACTAATCTATTCGAAACTCACACACGCATTACGATTCAAATAGCTCAATCAAACATAGAAGAAGATATAGTTAACGCTATTAAAAAAATATGTCCATTCAAAAATTAGGATACGATTACTCATTAATCCAAACTGTGCAATGTACACTGTCATATCAGTTATAAAAAGACTTTTAAAAGTTCATCTCTTAACCTTTTTATAACAAAAAATGAATTGGAAAACGTTAGGGAGTATTTAAGACAGCAAGGTATCATTCATAAATATCACCTTTGCCTATCCTAAATATCACCGGCTTTGTCCCGTAAATATTACCGAACGAAAATGAAAGAGTATATTACCAAATTTATTAATGACTGTATAGTATGCGGACAACTTAAGTACGACCGCAATTCTGTTAAACATAAATTCAAAATTGTACCACCAGCTTCTAAGCCTTTTGAATTAGTTCACGTAGATCTAATAACTATTCAAGGGTAAAAGTATTTGACAATATAAGATTCTTTTTCTAAATAATATACTCAAGCTTACTATTTGCGAATCGGCACTGCTGTCAGTATAGTCAAGCTTTACTGATTTTCTGCACACAACATGGATTATCATAGTTTCACATGCACCTAATGAAAATGGTATTGTTGAACGATTTCATGTCACCATATTAGAACATCTCCGTATTTTAAAGAAAAATCAAAATAATGAATCCACTATTAATAATAATAATAATAATAATGCCCTTCAGACCGAATTTCGGCCACGGCGGCCTGCCTCAACGGAGGCTAGCCATCGGTGCAGGAGAGGATTATAGTGCCCAAGTGTATGCGCAAGCACAGGTGCACTCTCTATTCCCTCACTCTCATAATCCGATGGGACGGTAAACCGACACGACCGGAGAGAGATCAGGAGTAGGACCAACGGCTTTACGTGCTTTCCAAGGCACGGGGGTGATACACCGCCAACTTCCTGACTCCGGGCAACTACTGAGAATTTCTTGACAGAAAAACTCAATAATGAATTTTTTGGTCCGACCCGGGATTCAAACCCAGGACCTCATGATCAGCAGTCGCACTACTACAACCACTAGACCAACGAGGCAGTCCACTATTAACCTTGTACCCTATACTATACAATCATAGTACATAGTTTCAGAAAATGCAAGCCAATAGAAGTAATTAAAGAACATTTTGACCCTCGCGATCCTCGATTCGATCGATTGACATAGATTTATCCCGCTACTTACTTCAACAATATGTCGTAAACTACAAAGACAAAATGACAGACCTATAAAACTATTCACGACCTATGTAGCGACATGCGTAAAGGCTTGCCTGATGTTCGCAATAAAAACCGAGAGCCGGAAGCTGAATATTTCGGGAACAACAAATGTTTATAAAAAATCCTTTCACATCCCGTCAGAAATTAGCTCCTTGATACACACACGACACGGTAATTGCTAATCTCCCAATTCAAATTTATACAAAGAAAGAACGAGGCCCCATAGCAAAAACTCGATTAAAGAGAATACCTAAAACGAACTAATTGTTACAGGACTCTTGTGGTACTTCATCTCCTTCGGGGACCAGCTCTAATGCAGGAGATAAAACTTGCAAGTCTTAGTGATGGACCTGGTATATTTATAATTAGGCCCCACTTGAATCCTATTCCACTACCATGCATTTCTAAAATATGTCGATCTTCAAGAATTAAGAGACAAAGTAAATTCTGTTAAAATACAGTTAATCAATATTACTCCTAACCTCAACAACATAACTAATTCCTTATTCAGCCTCACACTGATTATCTTTAAAATAAGCTTGAAAGCGTCACCATACAGGTGAGAAGCTTTAGGACTTGTAGATGGTCTCGGTTCCATTGTAAAAAGTATAACTGGTAACCTTGATTATACAGATGCAGATTATTTTAATCGCACAATAAAATCCATCC